GATGATGATGACGACGGTTATGCTGATGATGGTGATGATGATGGTGATGATGATAATCATGGCGGCGAGAATGGTACGACTTTGACGATGAGGCATCGGAGCGGAGAGAAGAGGAGTAGAGGAGGAGGAGGTGGAGGAGGAGGAGGAGGAGGAAAAGGAGACGCGCGGCGCTGCGAATTCTCAACGAGGACCCAACACACAGGAGGGTTGGGAACAAGGACCCAACACACTGGAGGGTTGGGAAAAAGGAGGAAGGATGAGGAGGAGAAGGAGGAGGAGGAAGGAGGGAGGTAAGGAGACGCGCGGCGCTGCGAATTCAAACGAGAACCCCCCCCACACACACACAAAAGAGCTGGGAAAACTGGGAGGCGGAGAAAGGGGGAGAGAGGTACCCCGTAAGACAGACGATCCCCTTTCATCCTCCATTATCCATCCTGCTCCCTGACCCTCCATCTTCCAACCCCATTCGAGGGTGGAGGACGGATGGGGAGGGAGGATGACTTCGGATGGCTGTGTTATGTAGTTAAGTTTTTCATCAGCGCGCTATTGTGGTGACGTTCTTCCGCTGTGTCCGAGGGAGAGGAGGGGGGAGGAATTCTCCTCACCAGCGCCGTGGTTTTCGCCGCCCTGAAGAGAGTCGAAGAGGATCGCAGACAGAGGTCTCCGCGACGCGTTCCGCAAGCGCGTCTCGGCGCTCAGGGCGGAGGAGAAGGGCTTCGGCACGCACGACCGCACGCACAACTACGCCTTGGTCGTGAAGAGGGAGTGAATTCACAGTGTCCTCCTTTTGTCCTTCCCCCTCCTCCCTGCCCCATCCCGCTGCCCTCTGGCCCCCCTCATTCCTCGACATCTCTCCAACGTGCCGTGTGGCGCCGTGCGCATTGGAACAGCCCACCACTGCCAGGCTCCCCCAGCTCTTTCCTCTCGAAGGAAGGACGCATGAGCAACAACTTTCGGAATCCACGCGGACCTTCGAAATTCCCCGAGCAGTGCTTACACTCAGGCTCGATTTGCCGCCACGCCCGCCGGCGTCGGCGCTGGGGCGAGGAGGGCGAGAGAGGCCCGCCAACAGGTAGGAGGAGGGGGAGGAGGAGGAGGGGGAGGGGGAGGAGGAGCAGCAGGAGGAGGAGGAGGAGGAGGAGAAGGAGGAGGAGGAGGAGGAGGAGGAGGAGGAGGAGGAGGAGGAGGAGGAGGAGGTGGTGGTATTCGGCTCGAAAGAACCGAGCCGCTTCTTCGGACGGGCGGCAGCAGCCCGCCCCGCGGCCTCGTCGCCGCCTCGGTCGCAGTCCCATCGCCGCTTCGTCGCCGCCCGTCGTCTGGGCCGCGTCTTCGGTCTGGCGGCCACGTTGTCGCCGTCGCCGTCGCCGTCCCGTCGCCGCCTCGTCGCCGCCTCGTCGCCGCCGTTGGACTGCACCACGTAGATAGCACGAAACAAATCCCGCGTGCGGCGCGAGTTTGGTCTAGATCGCTCAGAGCATTGATTGCACCACATCGACTGCACATCATTGATGGCATCACGTAGATTGTGCACAGCAACATCTTTTTGTACCACGTACGCTGCACAACATAGTTTGCACTACATGTTCCCCAAACGGTGCTTGCACTTAGGGTTTTGCATTTTTGCTCTAAAGAGCCGGGCTGGTTGGCCGGTCTGGCGGCTCCGTGCCGGCCGTCGCCGCCGTCGCCGCTTTGTTGGCGCCTGTCGCCGCCGTTAGATTGCGCCACATAGATTGCGCGAAACAATCGCGCCTGCGGCGCGCTTTTTGACTGAGCACAGCATGGATTGCACCATATCTACTGCACAGCTTGGATCATAGGTGTCCAATCCTTGGTGCCGAAAATGGGGGCGTGCACGACATTTTCACTAAACGAGAAGGGGTCGCTTTGACTGCGTAGGTGTCGCTGCCGCACGTGGAGGGGTCTGGTGGCCTCGCATTGCTTTCCTTCGGTTTCCTGGTAGTTGGCCGTCGTGTTTCGCCATGTTTGCGCGTGCCGTGACACGTCTGTTGTAGTTCCTGGCGGTTAACAGCGTAATTCTTGACGTTTCGTGTATTCCCACCAGCCACAGCCACGCGACTGCTTTTTGAGTGGGCTGGCCGGCTAGCGGCGCGTCTTGTAGCTAATTTGGCTTGCCCGTTGGCCCGGACACCCTGCTCGCCGCCTGCGCTCTTCGCTCGCGGCCGCGACCAAAAAAGTATTCCCACCAGCCCATCCAGAAACGATGCCCATGAGAGTTGACGGGGGGAGAGTTGTCTGGCTTGCAAGCCTCGAAGCTGACCTGCTAACTGAGGACGTCCTGTCAGATTGGGAAATAGGTAGAAAGGACAATTCCAGCGACTGCGCCGTCGGACGGGGCCGCGCCTGCGAAGGCTACCCACCCTCCACCCAGCGCGCAGGCCGGAGCAGAAGAAGAGGAGACCACGGGCACAGCGGCTTGCGACCAAGAGGGACTCCCACCCTCCCAACCTTCAGAGGAGGACGGAGCGTCTGGCCAGGCTCCAGACCCAGACCCTGACTGGACGTGGGGGCCTGAACCAGAGGCACCACAGACGAGCCCGGAGCCCCCAGTGGACGAAGATCCCGTCCCTTCCTACCGACGAGGAGGCCAGCTCCAAGTCCCCCACTCGCACCGTGACCCTCTGTGCTGCCGCGCCGGCCAGCAGTGACAACGCCGCTCCCCTGGACCAAGGTGCGACAATGGACGAGCGACACGACAACGACACGGCTGGCACACGCAAGCCGCTGGCACCCCCCGACCCATGGGCGAAACAAATGGCAACAGTCACCCAGCACAGGAGACCTTGGACGCGCACAGGACGACACGGGAAGGGGCGCGACCAAAGATGGAGCCCCTACGACCATGCCAAGCGGCACGCGGACCGCGCGTGGACTCCCAACAGCAGCAGGTGGACCAACCACGGCTCCAACTGGAAAGATGACGGACGCGCATGCGGCTCGAGCTGGGCGAGCTATAGGGCGTGGGACTGCGTAGCCCAGGGACAGGGCCAGGCCGCACGCACGATTCCCAGCAGCGAAGCCGTTGGCATGCGGGTGCGAGAGGTCTGGCGCGATGTCGCCGCCAACCCCCTCGCGCCAACCGACTTCCGCAGTCGCAACGGCGACCAGATGTACAAGACGCCCACACACCTCGTTGAAACGCAGGGTGCGATTGAGAGCCACCATAACAGGACCAAGAAGAAACATAGCAATCATAACATTCATAACGATACGAAGAAGCAATCATATTAATAACCATGGCAATGCCTATAATAATGCGAATGCGAGAAATAAGGCTAACACGAATACTAATAATAACCATCATCCGAATACTACTACCACTAATAATTAAGTATCAAAAGTAGCAAGAACAGTCATACGTATACTTATAATGATATTTAACATGCGACTAAACAATAATGAACATACGGGTAATAAGAACAGGACGACTAATAACCTACACATAATACTACGAACCCTAATTCGAATAAGACAAGACATACTACGAGCAAGACGAATACTAATAATAACTGCATGAGTAGTCGTAATAATACAACTAAGAAGATATCGTACCGAACGCATTACGAAGACGAATAATAATGATATGAACAAGAAACGAAGACTCATCATGCTACTATAAAGATGAATCATCTGACTACTACTCGTAATACTAAGAAGACTAATACTAATAATCAGCATACGTAGAATTCGAACATTCATTATACTAAGACTATGAATAAGAAGAGTCACACCAATAATCCTAATATGACTAAGCACAGTATTAATTAATTACACTGTTGTTCTTATTGATTTAATACCAGTCATCTGTATGTTAATAGTACGAATATTAATATCATTTTAATAGCAATCACAAGACGGTTAAGAAGAATAAGTACCATGACTGAGTTATTCAGAGTAATACTGTGACACATACTAATAATAGTTGTTATACTAATACGAACACAATAAATACGAGGGGGAGGAGGAGGAAGAGGAGGAGGAGGAGGAGGGAGATCTGGGTTCGCTCCCCCATGCTCGCCCTTCCCTGATCCCTCCTCCCGTTCCCGGCCTCCCCAGAGGTGGTGTCCGCAGCAGAAAAGGCGGTCCGCTTCTGGCTTGTCGTCGAACTTTGAGTTTCGATGTTCGAGGGTAACCCTCGAACACAAAAACCCTCGAACCCTCAGGGTTCGAGGGTTTTTTTTTTTGTGTGTGTGTGTGTGTGTGTTTTTCTGTTTTACTCAGCCTCCAGGCGCTGTCGTCGCCACGGCCAGATCCGCCCTGAAGTTACGCTCTGAGCGCTCTGAACGCGGTGCCGCCGCGGCTTCGTCCATCTGAGACAGCATGCCGCCCGCCCGACAGCGGCCACTGCTGGTTTGGGGCAGCACTTGCTGCTGGGCATTGTACCCATTCTCGTCGTACCGATACGGGGCGTCCAAATGCTCAGATTTCCCAGCGGGGAGTCCCTGCCGGCTCTGGAGAGATGAGGAAGGTGAAGTGTCCGGGTCGCCGCCTTGCCGATCCGATTGCCAAGCGATCACCCTGTCTACAGCGGGCGGCCCCGGGTCTCTCTGCGGAGAGAGTTGGCAGCCGAGGTCGTCGAATTTGGCAGGATCTTTCCCACTCACTGGAACATTGTTCGTCTCGCCGGGCCCGCCGGCCAGGGGGAGTGGAGATGTACAGATCCTAGATCCCGTCTCCCTAGGCATTCCGAGGATCGGCGCGGCCCGATGCTTGCATGGCGCCTACTAGGCTGGGCATCATGGCGCAGCCGATCCGCTTCGATTTCGATTCCGGTTCGACGCACGCTCCGATCCGCTCGGATTTCGAGGTTCTGTGCCGACCTATCCTGCCACCCGCGCACGGGGCCCAAGGAGGTGGCCCGAGAGCAGTGGTGGCCTCTTCAGGGCCCGGATTTGCTCGCTCACGAGTGTTGGGATGGAATTCCTGGGAGTTTAAGCACAGTTTCGGGGCTGGTATATCCGTGGTCGAACACCAGCTTAACCCGTCCTCATGGTCCCCTTGAATCCTGCTCAATTCCAAGTCCATCGTTTCAATCCGGCTTGTTCCTGGGCCTTCGATCTGGGCTACTACGTCTTGATGGCCCCTAGCCGGGCTTAATACATTGCCCTCCCCCAACGAGTGTGGGCGTGCGCGCGAGCGCGGGCCCCACTCGCTTTGCTGGCACCGTCGGCGTCGCCTGCAGGAGGGACACAGGAGCTCGGCCAGCAACTCCGCCCTTCTTCCCCGGGACGCTCTCGGGAAGCTTTCGGGAGGCCCTTGGGGCGCTTCCGAACAGAGTCGGCCACGCGCAGAGGGGGGTAGGGAGGGGGAAGGCTTCTTAGAAGCACCCCTGCTTCTTATTTAGAAGCGCGGGCCTCGTCTACAGACGCAAGGCCGGCGCCTTCTAAGAAGCAGCCTCCGTCTAAGAAGCCTCCCCCCTCCGCCTATCCCCTTGTGCGCGCCGACAACAGGGCGCGCAAAATGCCGTGAGGGCGCTCTTGGCAGGCTCTCTGGGCGCTGTGACGGCGCCTTCCAGGGGCTCCCAGGACGATCCGCACCCGAGGGCGCTCTTCGAGGGCTTTCTGGAGGCTGTCAGGACGCTCTGATGACGTGGTGGAGCGAGAGAGCACCTCCCGTCCGTTGCCACATCCCATTTGCTCATGTGCCTGCTGAGTACACGGCGTTTTCGCCTTCTTCGCATCCAGGCTGTCTCACGACGATCTCGGGGCGCTCCGAAGGCGCTCTGAGGAAGGTCTCATGACGGTCTTCGTCGGCTTCCAGGACGCCTTTCGGGGGCTCTCAGGAATCTCCCAGTTTGGAGGCTCTCGGGAG